GTCCCGGTAGCCCCTCACCGAATACGTAATTGAATGTCCTCTTTCTAATAAAACTGTTTTCAAATTAAAACGCTTTGTAATGTGAAGCGTTTTCGCTCCAATACTAGTGTTGGAATCGAATTTCTGTCATTGCTTGGCTGATACTTGATAGTTTCAAACAGAATAATTCCTATGCGACTAAATATACATATTATATTTGTTTTAAGCACAAAATCTAATTGGATTTAATTATTTCTACAACTTACGTTTTCGGTCAAATTTTCACCCATGATCCCCGTCATGGATAACGAAAACAGAAACTTACTCCAAAAGCCATGTGGACAATGTAAAAGTTTCAAAACTTTGGGAATGATGTTTGAGATAAAATAGATCAATTAATAATCAATCAAATAGTTGCTTTGAATAAAATATTTTGCTTTCATATAATCCTGAAGGGGACCAGACGTAAAAATCTGACCGAAAAAAAATTTGTAGAAATACTTAAATCGAATTAGATTTTGTGCTTAAAACAAATATAATATTTATATTCAGTCGCATAGGCATTATTCTGTTTGAAACTATCAAGTATCAGCCAAGCAATGACAGAAATTCGATTCCAACACTAGTATTGGAGCGAAAACGCTTCACATTACATCGAGTTTTAAGTTGAAAACTCTTTCATTAGAAAGAGCACATTTAATTACGTATCCGGTAAGAAATCTTACTGGTACACCTCGAAAAACCACACTTCATAAGACTGAGAAAAGCAGTATTTGTAACTGTATGACCCGATCGGAGCTGGTATTTAAAATTTATCGAGAGAAAAAAGATTGAATATCAAAGTGGTTCTTATATATTCTGATAGAAAAAAACATTGTGCATCGAACGGATCTATTTTCAAACAGTATAAATCGAATATTCATGGATCTTTAGGTCAGTAACTGTTTTTTAAGGCTCCGAGAGAGTGCTGCATATGTTTCTTATTATTCGATGAAATTCAAAACTGAAACAATACTTGTAATCAGAAAGCTTACCTTTATGCAAGTATAACTATCTGTATTAAAATCAGAACAAACAAGATTTTTCAACCCTTGAGGGGGAGTCCAGATGTTAAAAATTGAGCTTTTATAAAATACGCAACAAAATTGTGGAAAATTCAATGATGCTTTTCAAGCTAATAAAATTATGTGCAGGTTTATTTTTATCAAGGAGTATGGCATTTCGTACAATGTTTTTTGCATACCTGAGAGAAAGCAGAAGCTGTATAAATGCAATGGTGATAAAATGAAAAATAAGCTTCTGACAAATAAAGAGAACTCAGTGTTCGTTCTCACACTAATAAAAGGGGGATCAAACTTTATGGTATACCATTTTGCAATTTGATATACGGTTACTTTCGAAGGATGTTTTTCTTTTTCTGTTTGCCTTTCTATTCTGAAATAGTTCTCATTCAGATTCTGCGAATAATTCAAGAAAAAATTCACCTCTACTATTGAAAATGAAGGTAGATTTCCCGATTCATTTCCATACGACTGAAGTAAATTTCACTATAGAAAAGGTGCGGCGGGTGCTGAAGGTGCCGAAAAGGTAATGAAGGTGCTGAAGAGGTGCTGAGGTCCGGGGGTTCCAAAAGTATATTTACCCCCTTGATATTGTTGGTTTGACGAGATTTTCCCGCTTGCAATGAGAATTTATCTCATCGATCGATTCATTGTGGATTGCTGCTTTTGTTTGATTTAGAACGTAGTCAGGCTCTTGGTGAGATCACGGGTAAGTTTTCATTGAATATCTTTTACAAACCATAAACAGCTGTATAACTTGAGGAAATGTCGTTTACTCCGATTATAAAAGGTAGATTTTGGTAGAGAATACGTTTCTCTATATATGTCAGCTGTAAGCAAAAAATGTTAACACCACAATTAATGCGAGACAATACAAGAGAACTTTATGTGTGTTCTGAATAGTATTTATTCATTTGAATAGCTAATAGAGGATAGCTTACTACGTGCTATACCCATGGCGTAAATTTCTTCGAAAAAACCGCGTTCTGAGAACGCGTTTTCCCATAGCTGTGAAACGCGTTAACCCTTTCAATCCCGTCATTTTCTTGCGTTCTGTATGAAGAAGAAAAAAAGAAGTGCAATCCCTCTCTGTTGCGTTCTGTCGTCACGATCAGCTGTATTTGACTCTATATATATTGAAGTCAATATACATATATACTGTCAAATATAGAATGCCTATATGAATCTGCAAACGATATTCTAAAAATGCCAATACGAATTCAGTGATAAATTTCTACTTTTTTGAAAATAAAAGCCTGGTATTCAAGTTTCAATTTAATGCAGGAAATCAAATTGAATTTCAATTATTGAGAAAATCAAGCATTGTCTAAATAATAGAAATTCGATGAATAAATGATAAAAGGTTGAATGCTTTAGTTACTAAAATTGATTTTCTACAAAATAGAATTTAAAAAAAATTACAGTGTAAACCCATTTTGGTGTCATTTAAACCCTTTGTCTTTTTCTTAGAATACAACATATGATATGCGTCGTCGAAGAAGATGACAGAACGAAAAAAAATTGTTTCGTGTTCTTCATGTCATCTACGAGATGACATGTGGGATTGAACGGGTTAATGCTAGCCGGCTTAATGCATTCCACATCTGCCAAAGCAAACGTTGCGGAACGATCATTTCTTGACAGCGTTTTGTACTGTTTCCGAAACTGTGGTATCGTATATTTTGGATGAAAAAAAATTGAAAACTATCAAGTACTTCATAGAACTTAGGTTGTATGTACGATCCATATATTCGTTTGCATTGATTCATAGAACTCTAGAACTATAATTTACATGAACTTCGATAAAGTTAAGAGATGGATTCGAACACGAGCACAAAATACTAAAAGACATATACACAAACCGTTCAACTAAAATAGTCAAATGATATCTCTATTTATTGTCTCGTTATTCTGACTCTCGCATAAACTTGTTATTGAAATAGATTTTCGGTGTCTCATATCGATAAATTAAAAATTATCACTTCCTTGATACTTAAATCCAATTATTGTTGTCATATTCCTCTTGATTTACTTTATTTTTACCTTCTTCGAAATTTAAATTTGAGTACACCCTAGTCAACTCTCCCTCGAAGAATCCCTAGGGAGTCCCCTGACAAATCCCCGGTGACTCACGACAGGGACTCGCCAGGGATTTCGTTATTTTGCGGGGAGTCGCCGTTGGAGAGTGGATCAGGGGCACCCCATTGAAATAAATGTAATCGGATCTAAATTGGATTTAATATTTTAGAAAAATTAAGTGCATCAAATATGAATTGAGAAGAATTAAACTTAAAAATGTTTGCGTTTTATTTTCTTATTTATTGATTTTTATGGCTATGAATTCAACATCCTTCAACTCAATGACATTGATAAATGAAAGAAAGTTTCTTCTGTAATCCGAGTTTCTTCTGTAATCGAAGCCCAGTTACATGAATATCATACGAGCCAAAATCATATTTTAGTCGCTTTGCAGGTAGTATCATTAGTCAGTATTGCTATGTATTCTTTTCTCTCACATTATTAAACTCAGTTATCAGCGAGGCAGCAACGTGATGGTATGACAACAGAACGGAACAAAAGGATAATCTCCCTCCGATGCAGTCGAACCAACGTCTTCTGCTTTCCGGGCAGCTGCACTACCACTATACTAGGAAGGAGCGTGTATTATTCGTTTGTTCCGTCTTACGATCGAAGGGGAACACTTCGGTCGTAANCTGCTCAATATTGAAAGCAGCTCTTCATTGAACGCTACGAAATGCATTTTATTTCGGTGAAAGCCCAGCGAAATGATTTTTCGAAGGGAAAGCAAGTACTCTTGTTATACTCTGGTGCTCAACAATAGTCTAAGTTCGAATTTGCTTTATAGAACGGCTTAAAGTCATTAGATTTTAGAAGACTGGAATTCTGACCTTGCATACAGAAGATTCGCATCACGTTGCTCGTGTTTTAAAATCATTCGACTAGCAAACCTTCTATAAATCATTTCACATCGTTTCCAAAATAATGGAAAGAAATTAATTTTTGCTTAACTCACATGCATTTCATATGGAAAGTTCTGTAACAGGATGGATGCATTATGCATCATTTCTGATTGAAATGATGCAAAACGCGTTTGAAACAGAAACGCATTGCACATCTTCTTTAAATTGTGACTCTAAAACGCGTTGTCTTCCGGCTGAAGTGCGTTTCACAGCGTTTCAATTCAAAAACGGTTCGAAACGCAATGTAGAAAAGAAACTTTTCGGATTGCTTCGAAAAATCAACGTAGCGAAACGCATTCTATCTCAATAAAATGCTGCGAAAGGCATTTTGTCTTGAAGAAACGCGTTACGTGGCCCGCTTCCTTCAATTTTTTACGCCATGGGTATAATAATATCTTAAATAGAAATAAAAGAGATAATCTTGAAAACTGTGTTCTATGACGCGCGTATCTGACATTTACAATGTAGACTCTGAAACAACTATTTTATCATCCATTCTTGACGGAATTTTCGATGAAAATGAATCAGTGCTTACGTAGCTATAAATAATGGCCATCGAGAGTGCTAATTTATCTGTAAATTTAACCCGAAACATGGATTAAAATTTCGTAAGTGGAGAGAAAACTTACATATTTGAATGGCAGAGAATTGAAAGAAAAAGTATATTCATTTTCAAGTGACTTTCATTGTGCACACAGGAAGATGAAATGGGTTGTATGTGTTGTGTTTATAGGAACACAATATATGAAACAGGCTGTCGCGTAATTGGGCGACATACGCGGCATATTTCGAGAATTTAATTAAAATCTAGACGTCAGAACATGCGCTATTTTCTTCTGTCATTGACGTGAGACAAACTGGCATGACAAGTGCAAAGAATTTTGGTAATTTATCGCTAGTGTTCAAAAATTTAAAAAAAAAAGCCAATCAAAAGTCTGCATTTCAAATGTAACTCGTCAAATAAAATAAAAATTTAGTTCTAATTCAAATCAAATTCGTTTCCAGTTGACAATTGAGAATAAGCAGAATCATTATTACGTCTAGTTGTAACAATGAAACTATTATTCTTTCGCATTAGATAACGATTGTATAGTACATAGGTAAATCCAATAATTAAGAGAATAAAAACAAGTGAAAACATCCAGATGACTGCAGCTAAATGCTTCCCAACAGAATTCGACTGACCATTCAACAAAGATCCATCATAAACACTGTAAAAAGACAATAGAAAAGGATTAGACAAATATTTGATCGGTGACATAAATGTTCGTTTCAAGCGGAAAAATGACGTTCAGGTCAAAAATGCCTAAAAACTAAACTTACGATAAACACACTAAACAAATAAACAGTAACGAAAATATACCGTTCTCTGGTCACGTCACACCACTATACAAATGAATTTGCAGCAGATAAATGAAACCTCCATTGGGAAAAATGCTCTGGATAAATGAAATATCATTATTCCTATAGAAAAAAAATGCTTTAGTTTGCGATCGAAAGTGAGGATACATATCTATTCGCTAGCAGAAAAGTGAGTTTGCACGATACTAAGGATGTTGGGAAAATTTATAGTCGGTTAGATTATGATTGACTTTGGTTAAAACAATGATTGGCAAATTTGCATGAAGATAGGATGCCGAAAATCATTTACGATATAAGTGAAAGCTTTCATAGTTTTGTGGTAATGAGTGACGAATGTCAAAGAGCTGGTAAGAAGTTTATTTTCAATGAATCTTTGAGAAAGAAAGAATGTGAAGAATGGAAATGAAAACTATTCATGTTTGGTGTATGTGTAAACTTCTGCATAGCATGGAATATGTTGTATATGTACGGATATGTTTTCTGAACATTGGCAACAAAAGTATTCGATATAAATTTAGTATATACAGGCTGACTTGTACTTATATAGTTTGTCTTCTGTCATAGACAGAACGGCAGAATAATTCATTTTTGACCTGAACGGTATTTTTCCGCTTGAAATGAACATTTATCTCATCGATCGATTTTTTGTCTATTGTTGAATCTAAGTTATTCTTCAAATCGTTTTTCTCAAGATTCAAACTACTCTGAAATGATTTGATAGCTTTTACAGTAGAATCTATTTAAAAATGTGCATTGCATTGATTACAAACCGTTTTGCCACAACTGCACGACTCTTTCGTATTGGTGCTTTCTGACAAACTGCAGTGGCCAACTGATTACAAGAACGTTCATCACATGAAATCGATAGATCAGTCTCAGATCGAATATCAACATATCCACAGCCACTCTGTCGATCTTGGAGTCGAGTTCTTGGTATGATTGGTCCAGGTGGCAACGAAAATAGCGAGATATAATCTGTACCAAATATTTTCCCACATGAAGGAGAAGTAGGATCTGAGTCTAACATATTTGATGAACTGCTTTCATCCATTATACGATAATTCATGCCACTGCGATTCTTTTTATCACTAAAAACACCTACATGTATAACATTGGATGATGAGTAACTTCGTTGACGTAAAAATAAGGATCTTATCGACTTCAATGTTAACTCGTCTTCAGGTATGAATAGTGTAGTATTTTCGCGTTCACATTCAGATTTTGCGTCGTGCCAGGTCACTTCATGAATGTT